TGTTGGTGTTGTTGGTTGTTGTTGTTGTTGTTGTTGTTGTTGTTGTTTTTGCTGTTGCTGTTGCTGTTGGTGTTGGTGTTGGTGTTGGTGGTGGTGTTGGTGTTGCTGTTGTTGTCGTTGTTGTTATCGTTGTTGTTATCATCGTTGTTTTTGTTGTTGTTGGTGGTGGTGTTGTTGTTGTTGTTGGCAGCACGTGCGTCTGCCGCCGCGCGGGGTGGAGCAAATTCGGGGCAGGCACGTGCTAAAACTCGAGTTTTGGCAGGTTGTTGCACCGACAAAAACTTTGCGTTTTTCTTTTGCCTGGGTTCTCACGGTGTTTTCGCAACAACAGCGATCATTCCGAGATGCACTGTGCAAAAAATATATGAGCTATCCCTTTTGCACTGTTTTTTGCGATGTTTTCGCATCGTTTTTCCTGTGTGTTCCTAATTTCCGGTCTGCACTGTGCCGAGACTCGATTCTTCGCACATGCCTGCTTGGACTTCCATGCGTAATTGAGCTCCGTGCAAAAATTGGGAGGGCGGGATGATGACGTCCATGCGAATGCGGATTCTTGTGTTGTGTTTCTGTTGTTTGCCTTGGTGGAGATGGGGGGGGATGGGGGGGATGATGACGTCCATGCGAATGCTGTTTGTTCTGTCGTCTTGGTGTTGTTCTGCCTTGGTGGGGATGGTGGGGGATGGGGGGGAGATGACGTCCATGCGAATGCGATTTGGTTTGTTGTGTTTCTGTTCTTGCCTTGGCCTGAAGCTCTGAAGGCATTGAATGCTTGACCCTCCAGTCTGGACCCTAAGCCCTCAACCCCAGCCACACTTTGGAAGTCCAGGGCTTCGCACGTGAAGCCCCTGCACACAGATGCCACGCAGTGCTGTTCACTGTTGCCCTCGTCGATACCTTACGGTTGAAACGCCACCCATACAAAAAAATCAGCGTTTTCTGTCCTTTCCACACCAAAACTTTCAAAATGAACCCAACAATCAAGCACCAGAAACAACGAAAAACACGGTATTTGCGACACTTTCGCAAAAATCTGACCAAAAATCCAAGACAAAGAACTTGAAAAAACACATGCTCCCAAACAACCTCCTGTTCACGAAAACCACAAGTATCGACACTTTCCGGCTTTGACCCAAAAAACGTCCCAAACATAAATGACACACCCCGTGCGGCGGCAAGCGCAGGTGTTCCCTTGTTGTTGTTGTTGTTGTTGTTGTTGTCGTTGTTGTTGCTGTTGCTGCGTTGCCGTTGTCATTGAATTGTCGTTGTCGTTGTCGTTGTCGTTGCTGTTGCTGTTGCAGTATCCCGGCCAAGATCCTGGGCCTGAATGTCGAACAAATCTCATCTATCTCGTCTTGGCCGAAGATGCGTTCTTCTTTGAAGGTTGCCTGCGGCAAAATCAGATGTGCCTATCCTATCCGAGACGAGCGCGGTGGGCTCGGCTAGTCAGGCCTCCATGCCGAGACGATTTTCAGCTTCGCGGTACTGTGGGAGAACATCAGACAACTCCTCTTGCATCACCTCATTTCAAGCTGCCACCTCCGTGCATATCTCAACCTGAAGCTCTGACTCACCCTTTGTGTCCCTACGACGTGTGTGACTCCCAGCAACAGTGACTGCAACACTTCATCACCGAGCACTGAGCACTGCTGTACTTTATTTGGGCCAGGTATCAGATGCAATGTCCTTTCCTCGCACACATGCACCCGTGCAGCGACCCAGAACTTGCAGAGCCAAGGTTGCCTGAGTGTGGCGCAGCCATGCGAACTCTCTGTGATTGGGATCTGGTTATGTGCCAAGTGCAGCAGCGGCCAGCATTGGAGAGCGAGTGAGAACGCAAGACAAAGAAAACTGTTCCCTGGCACACGCCCAGGGACGAAGCTCGCTACCTCTGCAGCGGTGCATGTTCCACTGTGCGAGCTATCGAACAGAGTCATGAACACCTTGGTCCGAATCAGTCTCATGCGAGCCCAAAGAATACTCCGCAACATCAGACGTGCAAGAAAGGCTCGCCACATTTCTCGGAAAGCTTGGAGGAGCTGAACAGGCCTGACAATTCTGTTTTTGGAGAGCCTCTGTCGATGACATCCTCCATTCTTGACCGCATCTCGCTTGCTGCCCTATCCAAAGGCGAACACACCGTTGCACTTATCCCAGACCGCAAATCATGCCGCACAAATAAAAGACCAGGCGCAGACCATTACCAGCAGCTCGCGGCTGTCAATCAGGGCCTTGGGTCGCCAGCTTCGGTAAGATCCCATTGAGCCGAAAGCAGATATTGCATTCTGGTGGCATTCTGCTGGCTGAATGCATCAAAGATAAAGAGTAAGTTGAACTCTGGCAGGAACAAGATCCTTAGGTTCGCAGAGAACGTTCACCATGGACAGACATGCCGAAAACCGGTGCCGCAGCATTCTCGATCAAATCGCAACACACCCGAATAACTGCTGGACGACATCGGGTCTTAAGCGGAGGGATTGGAACCTTAAGGGAACCTTGCGGAGCACGGGACTGCTGGGTTATATAATATATACCTCCAGGTTCATAATGTGCCCACGACAACACAAATAGCACCCTTCTCAAGCTCGTTTCTCACCGAGCTCGTCATAGCTGATCCATCCGGAATTTTCCACATCAATATTTTTGTATCGCCTTCGAAGGAAAGGGACACAACACTAGAGTTTTGAAGCTCACACTGTCCTACATTCGCTTTCTCATCCAACGGCCTGTACACTGCCCAGACATCACCTCAGCTTACGCAGCTGCTTGCAGCAGTGGCTTGTCACGGCTTGTCTGCACGAGCTCCACAATGCATCCGAGTGACCATTGTAGTAGGCTCCAAAGAATCGCCGTAGAGTAGGGCCAATATCGCGTTGAGCCCAGGAACTGCCTGTTGAAGAGTGACAGGGAGCAGACGGTAGCATCCCGAACCTCAAGTGTTTGACTCTCGAGCCTGGCGCAATACTAGGCACGACAGACTGCAAGGCTCTAACCTTGTGGCACGAGAGCCAGTCGTCTATGCCACGAATGGCCAGCCAGGCTTGGACAGAAGTTTTCAAGAACTCCACACGCTTTCGAGGCTTGCACAAAGCCCGCGCCCATCGCAGCCTGCAGATGCTTCACACATGCATCGCCACCAGCACACCCGCAAACCACGCAACATTGCGGGAAAGAATGAGATGCCTTGGAAGCACGGAAGTCCGTTTCAGCCCCGTTCTGTCCCATGGGTTTACCGCTCTTCTTCACAGAGGCCTGGTCTGGCTGTCCGGCTAGCGTAATGCCGACATAGCGTCGCGTGGAAAAAACGCTTCACGAAACGTTTGCTCTACCTTTCACGGGCACAAGAAAGGACTCTGTACGCCTTCTGTGGTTCACGTCATTCACTGCTGTGCGGTTCTAGCAACATACGGTGATGCCGATGGTCTACTGATACATATGATCCGCTACGCCGCTACACTGTGCCATGGTGGGCGCATATGTCTGAGAAGCTGATGCGGAGATCTAGAGCCTGAATCTGCAGAGTCCGATTCACGGCAGAAAAAGCTTGCGTCAGTCTGAGTCAAAACAGCTGTTCTCAGAACAGCCATTGGCAAACACACTTCCCGAACCATACAAGCTCTTATGGCCTCAAATCACAGCAAGCTGCTGGTCATAGCACGCACTTAGTCTACACAAGTGCCTTCGCTGACATTATGCAGGCACTGGGCTTCTCAATTATGCTAATTATTTGATGTACGGCGATGAAGCACTAGCGGCTCACTACAGTTGGGAGCACTTCGCAGATGGGCTTGAGCCATGCTGACACAAGGAGCGGCCGCGGCCAGCGCTGATCGAGGGCTCCCCGCACGCATCTGATTCAGACTCGGAAACGTGGGCGCATCTCACACGCATTCTTCAACTCCGCCTAGAATAATGCTCGCATGGCTTTGGCTTTGCCACTCTGACATGCTTCCGGGGCCTGCGCCTCTACCCTACAGTGAAACGGCCCGGTCTCTAGCCTGGCGTCATGAGTCGTCATGTCGAGACTCCGTGGACTCCCAGGGCTCCCAGGGCTTCCAGGGCTCCCAGGGCTGCCCGGGCTGCTCGGGGCTTCGGAGCTTTCCTGGGCTCGGCCAGCGGCTCGACCGGCTCGACCGGCTCGCCGAGCTTCTGCTCGGATCCTTTCCTGGACGGTAACTCGCGAGAGCTGAGCAGTGTTCCGATTGCGAATGCGTTCCAGCAGCCTCTCAGCACGTTCCCGACCGGCAGCACGCGTCTCGAATGTTTCCAGTTGCTTTGCCGTCAGCGTCTTTCGTCGCTTTATACGATGCGGCTTCGTCTCTCCAGCGCTATGTGCCCTGACCTTAGACAACGCCACATTCCCGGGATGGTCAATCTTGCGGGAGTTGTCTGCCGGCTTCCAGGGCGCAAGGCTTTTGGGGCTGCTCTCGCTGTCACGGTCGAGACGGTCGAGATCCATGGTGCGCTTTCGTCGGAGCGAAGAGAGCGTGGGCTTCACCAAAGTTGGGCCCTCCCCCTCCTCTTTTTCCCTTTGCCAGCCGGGCAGGATGGCCTCGTTGGTCAAGGCAGGGAAGGCTCGGTCGAAGAGGAAGCGATTGGCACGGCCCTCCCGGAAGCAAATCCGTTGCTCAGCTTTCGTCAGCTCCTGCGAAGCTTCTTTTGACGAGGTCTTGCTCTTGGAACGAGGCGGTGCAAAGATGCCCACGAAATACGTTTTCGAGATCTTGCTGGTCCCTCGTCGAGGTCGAGACGGTCGAGATATGGTGGGTAGTGTTGGGGGCAGCTTCCGCCTTGACGGCGATCGCAGTGGTGGCTCCACACGAAGTTGTACTCGCAAGACCTTCGAGGAGTTGGCTGCAAAGTAAGGTGGGGACAACTCGACCATCTGCAGAGAAGAGAAGCTATCACAACCAGATCACAACTCTGAATGCGAGAGCAAAGCTTGCTAGGCAAACAGAGCTTTCGCTCACGCTACACAGTGGCAGCTGTATACCTTTCTGAACTGCTTGCACATGCGGTTCCCTGCTATCCCGGGCTGTAAGCCGAAAAAGCATTATCCTCCAACGCCTGCAGCAGCATTTAGATACCATTGGATCCGGCAGCTTTCTCAGAACCACAATGTAAATTTAGCTTAGTCTCATTCATGCATGTACATCACTGGAGCAACCAAGCCGCCGCGGTTGAAATGAGGCGACTGCCCATCTACTCTGTTTTGCACATTGAACATCAACATACAAGCATCGGCGGCTCGCACCTTGGCAAACACGAAACGAGCAGCTTATGGCTTAAAGTGCTACATCTGGGAGCTGCACTCTTTCACCGGCGGCCCCCCGGCCACGCACCTGTCAACTTGACTGAACCGCGCACTGACCCTTACGTATCATGACCCGGCCGCTTGACGGTTGCTCGTCCGTCGACATGATCGAAGACTCGTCTGCCTGAGGGTCGACCACCCTCGACCTGACTTGACCTTTCACCTCTAGAGTCTAGTTGTTTAGCACAGATGTTCAATGCCAAGAGTGAAAATACGATGCGACAACTAACCGTGTCAGCAGATGGCGGAGTGTTCATTCACATCTCGAACTCTCGGCGACAGGCAATTTCCCGTGTTTCTTCGCGCCATGCCGAAAGTATCAAGCATGAAATCCTGGAGAAAGCTTCCCACATTTTGTGCAACACATGTCCTCCAGGAACTCCACAGCCGTCACAGGTCGTTCCGAAGCTCGGATCGCTGCCCAATCTTTGGATCGGCCAGCAAAGTGGTGGAGGACGGCTGGCCTCGAGAATCTCTATCTACAGCCCGTGTCTCTGGGAGCTATAGGGCTAGGAGCATGACTCGGAGAGTCCTCGGGCACCCACGACCTCACAAGTCGCAAGTTCTCGCAAGGGCTGTTCACATTACAGCACCCTCAGTCTGCGATTTTTTGAGACAAGGACATGGTTCACATCCACCAAGCCCGGATCAGCAAAGCGGAAGAACCTGGATCGTCTTGCACCGAAGGGTCCCTTGGCATGGCCCGTCACGGCAAGTCACCGTTCTCAAGCGCTCGCACCCCTTTCCTCGGAAGCCGGCGGCCAACCTCTCGCTTGTTCGCCACCAGCAAAGGGCATACAAGGCTATCTGCCATAACAGGCGCAATCACACACACGGACACGCTGGAAGTAAAGTGATAGTTCTTTCTGCTGCTACTTCCAGGACCTGTAGTTCCTTAGTGTATCCACAGCACTGCCGACGTGCCAGGTTTATGGCTCGGCCTAGTTGCCATTCTAGTGCAGGTGCGCTGCGATGATCAGTCCAGGTCACCACAGAGAGCTTCGTTGGGTAGAGCTCTATGGGGCTCCTCTGCCCCCCTGCACTTGTGTCTCCGGAAACCTTTGGCTGAGAATTAAGGCTTCCCACACCCCCACTCACCTGCGCGTGCCCCCCACGCCACGCACCCCCTCCACGCCCCGACGCATCCGCGCCAGCCCGCGCAATGCCGCGCCACGCCCGCCACGCCCACCCCCCATCACGCCACCATGCCACGCGTAGGGAAGCTTCTTTGACAAGTGCGAAGATGGCAACGAGATCTATCTGATGAACCTATCTAAGTGCACGTCAATGGCAGCTTGAACGGCGCAAAAGATGTACCGGTTGTTCGGAATACTGTACTCACCGGTAGACTACCTGACTACCCGCATGACCAGTTCGTCTGACGAGCACAGTGGCAGCAGATTCTTTGCGCGGAGGCAGTGGTAATGACCCCTGACCCCTTGTATATGTGAAAAACCGTGATGCTGAACACAACCTGCCCTTGCAATCTGGGGTTCTGAGCAAAAGGTACAGTAGCAGGAAATGCTCGGAGAGTGCATACGATTGGACTTGGGGTTCGCGTTGCTCTCGGGGTATTCACCGCAGTCGCATAGGCGGTGCTCAAGCGTCTTGGATTTGAAGCGAGTGAGAATTGACGGCACAAAGAGCCATCGCCAAAAGTTCATGAACCCGCCCATCTGATGTCACGACATCTGCGACAGCCTGCCAAACCACACCTTGACCAACATGCTCCTGTCAATCCTCGTTTAGCACACCCCGCACGCAAGAAAACTACGAGATACTACGAGCAAGATGCGCCGGGAATTCGAAAACGAGCGCAAGCGTTTTTTATCGTTTTTTTGTGTTCATCCGCATGCGCTGACAGTCTTGCAAAGAACAAAGTACCCACGGTGCCCGTCGATCTTTGCTCAGTCAAGGCTCTGCATTCACAACATGAACCAGGCGTGCCTCGTGATTACCCTTCGCATTTGGCCACACATATTGTGCGCATTCAGAAGTGTAGCCTGCACCCAGCTGGGGTTTCAAGCTGCACTAATCTCGGAGAGCGACGGGGACCAATCTCAGCTCCAGCATCAAGCCGAGATCACAGAAGATGCTCCAGATAGTTAGTGCGAAACTGTGGCTGTTCTTCGACATCTCTTGACGCCACGTCTTCAGGCACACCTTCTTCGCCTCGAGCTGTTGCCTCAACGCCATCTTATTTATCAGTTCAGTGGTCTCGAAAACTGAAACCATTCAACCGGACCTCCATGCCAAGAACTTCCAACACAGTCTCGTCGAAGGCTCCCTGGTCCTTCTCGATGTTCTGCATCCAGGCCGCCTCTGATCTGCACCGCCGTCTCAAAATAATGAGAGGCAGAGCAGGGATCGACCTCTGTGGCCTTGCTTGGCTGACACAGTAGATGCAAGCCTTCTCCAGGAGAAGATCCAGAAAGAAGTGCCCGCGGCTCGAAGAACGAATCAACACGACCTGTGCCCGCTCCCGGGCTTGGACAACACCGGCTCACGACTCGATGCCATGGCTTGGTGTGAGTCGGGTTGCACCAAGCCGCCCCATTGTTCAAAGTCTGAGGACGGCCGAAATCGCGAGTAGCTACGTCGGGAGAACCATAGAGGCCACCTCATGAGCAGCTCTAGACCCCTCAAGGCCCTAGCTAGGGGTGACGTCTGCAAGATATCAAAGAGCACCACACCAGCCCATGCTCCGAGGACAGCGGGGATCGACACATTCCAACCTCCGATACGAGGTCGGAGAGGGCTTGACGAGAAGTTGCGGGATGCTGGGACGCAAGCATTCGGGTACCACGAACTGGTCAGGATCCACAACCAGCAGCGCCTCCATCTCTCTCGGGTAGAGCCGAGCTTGACCCAATTCCTGTGAGCCAGCGGCTGAGCCTTGTAGTAGCTGAGGTACTTCTTGGCCTGTGGCTGCGCTGCCCTTCCGCAGCCGTGCAAGAAGACATTGCCTGGGGCTGCAGCTGTGAACCAGCGCAGCCAATTAGGAGCGCGATGATGCGGAGGCCGCACCTTCAAGCTCACCACACTTCCTCTCGCCGACTGTTAAGTCTCGGAACCAGAGACGGGGCCTCTGTGTCATCAGTCTCCAAGATGAAAGCGAAGCCATGACCTGTTAGTGTACTTAAGCTCCCTTGACCAACGAGGCTTGCAGACTTCTTTATTGGCACCAATCACAGCAACCTCAATGCTCGCCTGGTGCATCATGCAGCAAAGGTGACAGACATTGGTGGGTTGTCTAAGCTTCCCGCGCAGAGAATAGCACCGCCAGAGGTTCAAGAAAGGCTGGTACGCATGGATCCTCGGTACATGTACTTGATTTGGCTCCTCCTGGAGATCTTGGTGTTTGCTCTTGGGAGGGCTGTCACGCGATCCCGTCCTCCCCAACTACGCCGCACTGCAGTCACTGAAGTCTGCAAGAAGATGATGCTTGAAGCTTTCCGCTCCGACACTTCCATTTCATGCCATTTCGACTTTTCGACCCCTTGTTGACCATCAGTACATCAGAAGAAGAAGCTTCCTTTTGTTCACCTGAGACCGGCTAGCGAAATCCCAGTCGTCTGCGACTCTCAGCCTCTCAGCTGCTACCTCCAGCCCTGCCCGCGGGAAACGCTGCGGATCCGCTCTCGCCTTCCCCCGTGTGTTCCCTTCGGTCTCCAACAATCCAGCAAGCACAAGTACACACTAACGGGGCCAGACTCGCACTGTCCGCTGCAAAACAGCATAGCATTCACCGGGACCGCATTGCTGGATCGAGTAAGTCAACTCTCTCGCTCTCTCTCTCTCTCTCTCTTCACTTCACTTCACTTCGGGGTCCAGGAGGCTGGTCAGGCCCCTCGCGCCGAGAGGCGCGCCCCTGTTTAGAGNNTTAGAGGCTTTAAGGGGCAACAACAGTCAGAGCTCGGCAAAAAATCTCTCTCTCTCTCTCTCTCTCACGGACTCAGTCACCTGTCAAAGTCAACTGTGACTGGCAACTCAAAGCTTCGTACTGGTTCGGCGTGGCCTGCAACATCCAGCATGGACGCGTGCACTCCGTCTGCACGCAGCTTGAACATTCCAGGTGTCGGACGGCAACCAAGATGGCCACCTGGTCGTTTGCCACAAATCTGCCAGACTCAGTACCTGTCAGATTCGGCACCCTCGGTACATTGGACAGTAAAAATCTAACCATGTAGCAAGCTGGGTGAGCCCAGGCATATCACAAGTATCTGCCAGAGCAATTGGCATGAAAGCGTCGGCGCCACGCTGCTGCGATTCGACCCTCCGGCTATGGAGGCACATTGCAGACGCCAGCAAAGTGTGGTTCAATTGGTTCACACATCATCAAGATTTTGTAAGTGCTTGGTGCGAGCGTCCGTTCCAGTTCAGTGCACATGAAACCACTTCCACACGCCACTACATCATTACCAGCTGCTGCCGACCTGTTTAAACGACTTGGTCCCAACGTTCACAGCACAGACTCGCCTCGGGGCCAGGAGGCTGTTGCAGGCGGGAGCCTTTGTACGACCAAGAGCCGTACGAACCCCCGCGAGCTGTACATAGCATACCATCAGCTGCCGGCACAAGTTGTTTCAGCTCTTGTCGGCGAATCTAGGTTCTGAGACTGCGTTTTGCCATGCGACAGCAGTACACATCGATACACTGGGCAAGGAGCTGCTGCACAGTGTTCTCGCCGTACAAAAACCTTGTGCAAAGAAATTGCATCCTGCCACTGCTGAATTGGTGATGATGTGGTCAGTTTGGGCCAAGGCAATCTCTGCAAGGCTACCTGCATCGTCTGCACCGATGGCCTGCATATGCACAAACTCACAACCGGGCTCCTTCGAGACTAGGGAGTTCGTGCTGAGGCAGCTTAAGTAATGGACCATGCCACCCATACAGTAATCCGCCGATCCACAAGCAACTTTCTTACACCACGTTGCCCCACCATGTCCCAGATGTGGACATCCTATGTGTTCTTTCTCTGTCTCCGCGTGTGTGCGTGTGTCCCGTCTCTAGCGGCGAAGTAAAAAACAAGACGCGCAAAAGAAGAGATTGCAGGGGGTTGCAGTGCATCACAGAAGTCTCCAGCCAACGAAGACGTTTAGGCGACTGAAATCCTCTCTTCTTCAACAACCAGGCCCAAAAAAGTTCAAACTTTTTAGGGTAGACCTAATATATAAGGCCAAAAAGTTTAAAGTTCTCCCATTGGCTATCTAAGAATCTAAACATCCTTGCCAGATGGCGCATCTGAGGATCATTTTTCTAGCTGATGGCCATACTCCAAATTGTTTTTTTGCATGGTTCCGCAATCTGAATCTTGAGCTGCCTGCTGACATGACTGTTGGGGCAGGGCCACAGTCAGCAAACAAAGTCAAAAACAGCGGAGCCATTGTCAGCAAACAGCCCGGACACAAGCCAAAAACACCGCAGACGGATTCAGAAAAGCCACCGCCCAAAAATTGCAAACATGAAGAGGTTGCACCTTGTCCCTGGGGTTGCTGACTCGTTTTGCTGAGTGTGGCGGCAATTTGCTGAATCCGGCTACTGGGTCCTCGAAAGTTGCAGTATGACAGAAAAGAAGCAGAGAACAGAAAACGACAACGTAGAGCACAAGCATCTTGACAATCGAGCCACATCATCGGCGACATTGCAAATTGGGGATCTGATCTCAAATGTGTCATCAGTGTCGGTTTCCTTCTGCGCCAGGTGAGTGAAGGGTTGCCTCCCCCATCCTGACGGCGACTCAACCGATGCTCTTGAAAATACCTGACTTCCAAGTGGCCTGGAGGATGATATTGATGAGGCTCCCGCTTTGTTGCGCGCCAGAGTCGGGCTGAGCCACTGCCCACGGTGAAGCGCGTCGGAATGCCCGCTGACCACTATTGAGATTCCTGCTCACTGCCCGTGGTGGCCCGTTGGCTCACAATGACTACGGCACAAGCGCAAGGAGGCACCAGAGACGAAGGCAACACTCCACTACCACTCTCACCGACAAGGAGACCAGCAGAAGTGCAAAAGCAAGTACGAGTACCAGGAAACACCAGCGTTGCAGAGCCTTGCTTGCCACCACGCTCGGCGAAGGTACGAGGACTCACCAGAGTTGCAGAGCCTACCCTGCCACCACGTCGGGTGAAACCCTTCCTGTTACCTGCGGTCCTGCACTTTTTCGCCTTGGGTGTACTTGCGGAGGAAGGTGACGGCAGTGATTTTCGCCTGGGCCTGGGTCTTGGATTGTGCCGAGCTGTGTAAGTCCGTGTCTTCATGCTCACACTGGTCTCCCGTGGTCTCGTCTCCATGTCGTCCTGTAATGTCTTGTACTTCGTGGCGAAGTCGGCGAGGATGCCAGTCTTGTCTCAGTGTGTTCCCCTGAATGAGGCTGCAACTCTGCACCCCCAAGAACACACCTCCCTGCAAGCCCCACTCGGGTCATGCACAGTCTCCCCAACGTCAACTAGGCGAGTGGTTCTCTTCCTTCCTTCCGTCAGGGACAAGTCTGCACGAACGCAAACCCGGGCCTAGGCCCCCCCATCCCTCCCTTGTTGAGTGGAACGAGGATTTGGGGTTTTTGGAATGGGTTTTACTTTATTGGTCGGTTTGAAAGGTAGGATGCTGCTGTCGAAATCCCCCTACCCGGAACACTAACTCGCATTCTGGCCTCATCCCCGCGCCCTCTAAGGCCTATCCTAAGTACCTTCGACAGGAGCACTCTCTTGTAGAACTACGGGAGGAGCAACAACTGAGGGCACGACAACTAAGCAAGTCAAGCAGGTCACGACTACAGGTGCAGGTGTCCTTCCTACTGGTCATTCAATATGATACAGTCTATGAGCAGAGCGTGCGGTAATTACGGCTATGGTACGGCAGGTGTGCTGCAGAAGAAGTGGGGCATGTCCGCCCCACTGTTTATTGGTATCTCGTTCCCTTTCGTCACTGTTGCTGTCGCGGCTTTTGCTGGTCTGTCCTCTTCCTTTGGCGTACTTGCCATGGACTTCCCCCTCCTTGCTCTGACCTCTTGCTGATCCGCCGTGCCTGTGACAGAAGCTTATCAAGCATGCGCCCGTCCAGGCCCACCCGTGTCCACTGAAACTTGACCTACAATAGCTCCTGCACTCAGCACTATCGTTCGCGGGTAATCTGTGCTTCTTCGGTCCTGTCCCTCAGCCCGAGGCCACAGCCCAGGCAGGTTCGTCAGTGACGAAAGCATGCGCCCGAATGAGCCTTAATGAGAGACCCGGCTTTACACAATGCACTGGATTCCCATCGAGCTCCACACAGCAAGAGCGTTTGAGTACAGCCTGCTGTGTCGCCAGGCTCTGTTGCAAGGCCCTGCAGGAGCCACGGTCCAAGCGTACGTTACAAACTGCAAACGAAAACTGTCAACGGATAGTCATTCAATTCAATCGGCCTGCAAAAGCAGAGCCGCAGCACAGGCCTGCACAACTACAATGGTAGATGCTGACACCTCTCTATTCAGGCAGTGGGGTAAACATGTTCGAGAGATGCCTCACTGTTGGAACACTACCATGAACCCATGTTCTGACATGAGGCATTCTGGACTCGAAGCCCGCAGCTATCAACTCTGTGCTTCTAGCTCCTGTCCGCGTCGTGATACCCCCCGAAACAGCAAACACAGGCTGCACAGAAGCTCCAGATGCGAGGAGCAACGTGGCTTGCTACGGCCATCCTGGACCTGGATAGCTTGTGTAGCACTGCGGTGCCTTCGGGCAGAAGTCGCAGTCTGTGCCTTCAAGCGCCGTACCCACAAAGTTCTCTGACCTCGTCGACACTTCGCTTCCCGTGAGCAAACTGAGCAACTGCCATGCAACATTGCACACAGGGAGTCGACATTCCCACCTATGGCACATAAGCAACACATTGCGAAAGGCGCAGGCATCGCCACGCAAGCTGCCAGAGAGTCTTCCTGCGGCACCTTACAGCTGCTAGCAAAACGCATCTGAACACAGACCCTTCCTCTACACAACCTGTCAGTCACCCATTTAAGAATCTAAGAGGCCGTGAAGTCTGCGAACATATGGATTACTTGCTTGGACATGGCCGTGGATGGAGTTGGCACACACCATGCACAGACAGAAAGACTGACAGACTGACTGACTGACTGACTGACTGACTGACAGACAGACTGACAGACAGACAAACAGACAGACAGACAGACAGACAAACAGACAGACAGACAGACAGAGACAGACAGAGAGGCAGATAGAGAGACAGACAGAGAGCGACAGAGAGACAGACAGACAGGCAGGCAGACACACACCGGCCGAACGACCGACCGACAAACAGGCAAACACACACACACACACGCATACACACACCCACATGCGCACACACACACACACAGGGAATGACCCTCAGTATGACCGAAGTCATACCATGGGTTAGCAAGCTAGCCTCATCTGCTTTGCCAATCATTTCATGCTCAAAACAGGATGGTGAAACGAAGGGGGATATCTGGTTTCGTGGTGCATGCATGAGTGAGGGACACTTGAGGGAGACAGAACGGTGAAATGAAACGGTGATGAGCACGCACGCAAAACAGCTCACAACCAGTGGAGATTTACGCTCCCTTTGTACATCTGTGGTACATGCATGAATGAGAAGGCCTTTCCGGAGTCAAGACGGTGAAATGAAAGGGTGATGAGTACGTGTGTCAGGAGTTTGTGGTGATGAGAGAGACGTGCTCATTGGCGATTTCAAATTTGAGGCAACAAGCAACAATTTAAACATCCGGGCGCTCGAGGCAAGAGAGCTTCGCAGGGCAAGCCGCAACCACTCTTATCTTCTTCCTTGTTTGAATATGCGAGTATGGGAGTTCGCAGGTCTGAGCCGCAAGCCCCCAAATCGCTCTTTTTTCGAGGTCGAGAGCTTCGCAAGCGCAGCCGCAGCCACTCTCTTTCTTATGTTTGTTTCTCATTTGGTCACTGCTGGACGAAGTCGTAGCTACTCTCGTCTTCTTCTTTGGTTTGATATGTGAATATGGGAGTTCGCAGGTCCGAACCGCAGGCCCCCAAATCGCTCTTCATTCCAAGATTCAGAGCTTCGGGCGAAGCCGCTGCCACTCTTTGCGTTATGATTGCATTGCCGGCTACATACTTGGTATGTAGGAGAGCATGCTTCGCGCATGCTAAAGCGGTCTCCAAGGCAAGGTTTTATAGCAGAAAAGCATGCATGCTTCACACATGCTAAAGCATTCTTATGGTAGACGTGCATGCTTCATGCATGCTAAAGCATTCTCCAACGCAGGTTGTATAGTAGGCGAAAACATTGCACACGCAAGTTGTATAGCCGAAGAGAGCGCATGTAGGAGCAAAAGTAAACACTGCCCCGTCGTCTTTCAACATTTATGTAGGAGAGTATTTTGGAAAATCTGTTGTGCTCATACTTGGGGCCACCGGGCTTTCTACATGTTGTCTCACTGCTCTGGAGGTCTAAACTTTCGTCAGACCACAAGCGGATCAGAACTCTTTTTCATTCAGTGGGGCCATCCTGAAATCGGTGTCAAGGCAGCTATAACATATGTATGGAAATGCCGAATGCCGACTGCAATTACAGTGGCATACACAAGGCCATCAGGCTTGCTGACTGCACGCGCATGCTGTTAGGCAGAGCACATCAAGTGCCGCCACTTGCTTCCAACCCCACCCACCCTCGGAGGGGTAGGGGCCGGTGGCGGGGCGCTATGCTAAGCGAATAACTCGGCGGCACAGACGAATATACAAGTAATGGCCAAATGCGCCTGCCAAGGAGCTGGTGACTGTGAGCAGCAGCTGCGTCAACAAAGGCCAGGAAAGCTGAGCTGGGCACTGGCCATGCCCGGCCGAGAAAGGCACCGTGACGGCATCACTGGCCTGTTGCAAAAGCTCCTCCAACAGCTGTTCTGCGAGGTGACCCACTAGGTGGAGCACACGCCGCAGCACGAGCCGTGCGACAGCACCAAGCAAGCGGGCCAGTACCACGACAGCCAGCGGCTTGACCAAAAACAGCAAACAGCTAAGCAACAGCCAGAGCCTGGCACTTCTGGGCAACGAGCCGAGCTTGGCACGAGCCTGCTGCAAAAGCCGCGAGGGAAGCGGCGTGGTGGCGCGGCGGGCAACACGACACGGACGCGCAAGCAGGCCAGCGTCCTCCACTGCAGCTGGCGTCTGCGTGTCGGGTGCGACAGCCAAATCCGAAGCCATTCTTGCAAACTTTTCAAACCTCTTGTCCTCAGGATAATGGCGACCGGCCCGGGTCAGCCAGTCAGCCGTTACATCGAGGTAACGAGCCCCTTCAAGCGGCCCAGCACGAACCACGGCTTGCCTAAATCTGTGTCGCCAGCCGTCCATAAGCACTCACGGCCGCTGCAGAAGTTCCAAGGTCGCGCGGGCAACGCACATGCACCGAAAGCCGCTGATGCGGAAAAAGCGACTTCAGGACTTGAGCTGAAGGCTCGAGCAAGAAAAAGGCTTGCGTCAACAAAAACTGCAAAGAACGAGTCTGCGAGGCAGGAACCTGCAGAAGCAATTGCTGCGCGGTGGCAAATTGTATGTAATGGAACAAGCTACTTTCACTAGCCCAGCGTCCCAAAAACTTCAAAGCTCCCAAGGCAAGTCCGGACTGGAACCAGTAGCTAGCGCCGCCAGATCGCAGACTGGCGGGGGTCAACTTGCAACCCTGAAGTCCCAAGCTGCCACACACGATTTGAAACCGCTTCCGAAAGGCAGACACCGACGAGGGCCACAGGAACTGGTCCGGGGCCAAAGTGTTGACAAAGTGCGTCAACCACATACAGACACAAGGATGTGTAAGCTGCACAAACTGTTCCGGGCCTACGCTGCGCCTAGTTTTAGGTTTGGCGATCCGCAGAGTGCAGTGCGGAAACCCCAATGACAAGCTGTTGAGAGTGCCAACATCACGAGCGCGCAACGCCAACAACTCCCCGGGGCGGAGCATGGCAAAGAACCCCACCTCAAGCAAGCAAGTAAACAAGTACCACTCCTGTGCCGAGCGCCCGCGCACGCGGCAGGCAAGGATGCGGGAAGCGATGACCATGCACAGCAGCAGCGGAAAGGGAAGTGGAACACGAACGTGTCTGGGCTGCAACTCCTCTAACGCGCGCAGCAATGCCCAAGTTTCCGGCAAACGGTGCCTGAGGCGTGGCCAAAGGATCTGGCAGAAGAGAACAGCATGCTTGGCCAAACGAACTGCCCTAGAAGTAGGAGTGTCGCAAGTGTGCTGCACAAAAGCCTGAAGGAGGGCATCTGCCCGACGCGTACTGCGCATGAATGGTTGCACATCCACCACGTGCTGCGCACGCAAATACCGAAACAGAACGGTGCCCGAGGCGAGCAGTCGGGAACGGTAAGCCGGACTCAGGCGAGCCAACTTGAAGTGCCACCAACTCGAAGAAGACCCCGCCATGCGACGACAAAGGCAGCGCGAAAACTGCAGAACTACTCGGAGTAAGCTAGCAGCAAGCAAAAAACCGAAAGCCTATAACCCGAGGAGCCTAAACCGGACTAGGGGGCCAGGGAGAGGGCGGTCAGGCACGTGTCACTGCTGCGGCGGCTTCCCGATTACAAAAAGCCCACAGCTGGCGTTGAGTTAAGGGTTCCTGCGACTGGAGCCACTCTGCACCCAGCAGCTCTAACTCGTCCGGCAAGGGAGGCTCGGGAGGTGGAATTTGCTTGACCCGTGATGGGAAATCCGAAGGGTTCGCATGAGTCGAGACCCAAACGTTGTAAAGAATCTTCTGTCCAACGAGACTCAAAGCCAAGCATCTGCGCAGAATTCGGTTGAGGTTACGGCTCGAGCTCCTACCCTTGGCTACTGCACCAAGCACCACCTTTGAATCTGTAAGGTTGACACAGCGTAGCCCTCCTTTGACTTGCGACGCAAGGTCGGAGTACTCCCTATGTATGACTTCAAGCTCCAAGATATTGATATGCTGGGGCTTGCGAAAAGGCTCCGACTCTGTGACGGACCAGCGGTGTAAGCCCGCCAAGCGCTCAATATGACGACTAGGAAGCTTCATGTCTGTGAGAGGTGCAATGCCTACTTCAGCCCAGTCCAAACGAACTCGCTCTCCTTTGTGCTCAGCAGCTCTGTGCAACAGTCGGCTCAGCATGGAGGTGGTGCGCGTGGCACACCGCCCGGCACCGGTAAGACTTGCGTCTGTTGAAGTGAGCCGGCGGCTTACAGGCCAGCGAACGTTTGTCGCAGCAAGCGGCAGAACGAGACATGCACCGAGCAGTTCTTCGGCCAGCACCTTTGGGATTTTGTGCTCTCCTTTCGAAGGCCAGCTTTCGATAAGGGTATAAATTTCCGAAAAAATCGACATGCACAACCGTCTGTGAGTAAAAGGGTGAACAAACAGACCGACAACTTGTTGCAGACACTTTTTGCTAGCCCTACCTAGTCTAAGCAACCGACAGACTACTTGACAAAGCTGGCGAAGTTTGTGCTGCAGTGCTCCGACACGACCGGTGGCACTGCAAACTTCAGTGCCCCACGCTGTGAACTTCGATTGCTTTGTGAACCTCTTCTCTAGAGAAACCGGCACACCCAATCGCTGATACTGCTGTCTACTCAACCCAATGAGAGTTTCATCTAGGTTCCACTTCGGGTCAGGGTCCTTGTGTCGGTGTTTTTTCTTTGGGGTGATTTGCACTACCACATGATCGTCGATGTAGAGCCCCTCTAACGTCGGCTCAAGCGGTAGCGGTGACTGATACTCAAGCACGTGCTCAGGGCGCATAGCGCCACCATCCCGTAACAACTCTACATGGGTCTGCTGGCAAATGTCAACCCCATTGAGATCACCCATACACACAACCTTAAAGGCCAAGACGTAGCGCCTAGAGGGATCTGCACCAAAACGCTCAAAGAAGGCTCCACTAACAGGTTTGCCGACAACATTGCGAGGCAGCCATTCTGGAATATGCTTCAGAAGATAGAAATAGTTCTTGAGGTCATCTCCTGACGCGCGCACAGAAAACTCCTTACTGAGCACAAGCTGTGTCAAAAGCGTGCCATGGGGAAGTCTGGCCCACACAAGCCTGCGTTCCGCTTGATTGAAGGGCCTACGGTCGTTGATGACTCTGTCACTATGCTCCTTACGCGCAACCCCAAACAACCCTCCTGACACTAACCGGCCGGTCGAGTCGTACAAGGCATGCTCTTCTGGAAGGAGAACGGCAACACCTGACTGGAGCAGTTTGTTGTACACAGGCACGACGTCACTCGTACGCACTTTGTGGCAAGCTTTGACCCTGGTTGAAGGCACGGCTTCAATGGGGACATGCTTGTGCATCTGAGTAAACTGCTCCAGATCGGATCCTTTGAGGAAATCTGCTGGATCAATGATGCCAGCGCGCTCAGGCAAAGACATACGTTCAGGGCGCACAAACTTGGCTGACTGTTGCATTTCTTGCCAATCGCATGCACCTAAATTATGATAATTATTGGCAACCATCAATTCGACTAACTCGTTGACACGCTTGATGCCTCTACTTGGGGTTTCGTGCAGAATTCAAGCACGTTACGAAACATTGCTTCAGCATGACTCGAGTGGACTTCGGTCCAAGTGTTGGACAAAGCACGCTGGCACCAAGCTTCAGCTTCGCAGAGCCTGGCGGGGCAACCTGCCTCTAGGAAGTTGCAGTAGCCCCAAAGTAACTGGCACCAGCGGTAAGCCGCCTGAGTCACACCTCGTCCCCGTTGGCGTTGTCGCCACTGTGTCTTTCTAGAAAGGCTGCCCCACCTTCTAAGATGCAAGAGGGACGGGAAAATGCACTCGCCTGACGCAGGCGATGTCCAGGCCCCAGCTTCGCACTTGTCGCAGTACGAAACGAAAATTTAAAAAAAAACCTTGCAAACGAACCGTGGAAACTCAAGAGCGTCTGCTCCAAGAGTCCACCTGCGCGGTTCCTTTTTTGACTGTCCTCTGCAGTCACGCTTCGCTTCTCTGGGTCTCTTGCGGCCTGCCTCGCCCTCGACCTCTCCCGGTGCCTTTGGGCTCGGGTTCCTCGCTCTCTGGCGCGGCACCGCTGTCTTGGCTGAGGCTCCACGTCTTGCCTCGTCGCTCGAGCTCCTGAGTCGCTCGCATGCAGGCAGCGATTGTCTCCAACGACTCCTCTTCGCCCCCCAACTTGCGCTTCACGAAAGGGTCTTGGAGCCCCGTCAACATCCAGGCAACGTTCCAGTTGCCGCCATCCAAGGCGGTCTGGTGGACTGCTCGCAGCGACTGGGTTGTCAGAGGCGCCGCTTGCTCTGCATTGCCTTTCAGTTGCTGTTCCAGAATGGCTCCGAGCAGAAAGTATACTCTTTGCAACCGTTTCTGCTTTCCCGACGATATCCTTTTGCCGTGGTCTGTCAGACGGTACGGGAGCTCGCCTGTTACACCTAGGTCTTCTTCGACTTGCCGCACGTATCTGCGAACGTGCTTCATCGGATGCTTCTTCATGTCCTTCTTCATCTGCCTGTAGTCGCCCATGGCTTTTGCCACTCCTGTAGACTTCTTTCGCTTGTGAGTGCTGCCCGAGCTGCTCTCGGAACTCGCACTGCTTGACGTCGAAGAACTTGACTCTCTCCTCTTTCTTCTGCTTCTGGCCCCTAGCTGCTTTAGCAGCTCTTGCACACCCAGAGCTTGCAACGGATCCACTCCGCTGCTGGAGGCAGCTCTGCCTAGCACAGTTGCTGCTTCGGCTGGCCTTTTTCCCTTTGTCTCTTGTAGTGGCGAGTCCTTCCGAGCAAGGAGAGCCTAACGAGGAGTCCGCTGACTGTGTTTCCCTTTCTTCTTTTTCTTTTCTTTGTCCTCTTCTTCTGAGAAAGCCTTCCCTTGCCAATGTTTTTGTATCTTTGCGATATTCTGCAACAGATCCTCTGCACCAATCTCGCTGTCGACTGACGACTGGTCCGAGTCGCTGCTGGATCCCTTTGATACAGACTTTGGCTGGACTGCCACCGCGGCATCCTCCGACGCGGTTGTAAACACCAGGTCTTGGTTGTCGTCCATGAACTTCTCGCCACTGGCCAAGACCTCTGAGGCCTCGATCTCGAGTGCTAGAAAGGCTTGACTGCAATGCTTCTTCAAGGCAGATGATTCGCCTTCCACAATTGTAAAGGCTTTCCCATCCATCTTGAATACCGCATCGTTCTGCGCTGCCTCTCTGTCGATTCTGACGATGAGCAGGACTCTCTCTGAGTCGAGTTTCCGAAGTACGAGGGCCTGCCTCCATCTCGGACCGCCTAGCGATCTGCCGACAGAGGCGTAGCAAGTTGAACCTGGTTTCACTTTCATCGGTGACGCTCTTCGCTATGGCATCGGACCTCTAGGATCTCTAAGGGACATCCTGAATTGACCCAGAAAAGCTACGAGATTCGTTTGACAACATACGCGAAGTCATAAAGCTGGAGCCTCACGTCTGCAGGATCCTTCGAGATCACCCGCCGTAGACCCACCCGAGCGGGCCGCACGTAAATAATACGATTGTGAGTAGAGGTGTTGTTGTTTGCTGTGTCCGCGGGCGTGGCCGTGGGCCGCGGAGCCGCAAAGCCGGGCCACCGGCCGCGGGTCGCCGGCGGCCGCGGGGCCGCGAAACCCTAAAAAGAGATGCTGTTTGACCCAAAGCCTACAAAAAAGCTGCTATTGACAAACCCCAAACCCTAGAAGGAGATGCTGAAGCCCAAAACACAAGGAATGGTTGGGAAACCCAAAGCCCTAAAAGGAGACGTTGTTGACAAACCCCAAACCCTAAAAGAAGAAGCTGAAACCTTAAAGAAACGGAATGGTTGGGAAACCCCAAACCCTAAACGCATATGTTGGTTGAACCAGAGCCTGCAAAGAAGCTGCTGTTGACAAACCCCAGACCCTGAAAGGAGATGCTGAAACCCTAAAAGCACACACTTGGAATGACCCTCAGTATGACCGAAGTCATACCATGGGTTAGCAAGCTAGTCTCATCTGCTTTTCCAACTTGTTCATGCTCACTCTTTCATCCTGTTGCAACTCTTCAATATCTTCATTTGCTCTCGTTGGCCATCCACCAATGACAAGAGGGATGACCCCCTGCATTCTTCAATTCTGTGACCCTTAGGAACAAGGCTTCACAGACACACACACACACACACACACATGTCAATGTGTGTGTGTGTGTGTAATCCTGTCCTCGTCCTACATGCCGTTTCGGTCTAGTGGGCAGATCGGCCCAAGAAGAGCAGAAAGGTTTGGAAACGAAAGGAAGCTAATCCTGGCACCGTGCAATTTCGTCGAACCAAGGGCGGCACAAGTACACCAGTCCACGCCATGCTCACAGCGGTAGCTGCTGCCTTCACTTTTGGAAGCTGAAGCAACGTCAAATGGTGAATGAAGGCTTGGGTATGCTTGCGTTGAGTTCTGAAGTGTGCACGAATCTTCGGCCCCAAACCTTGCGAAGAAGATAGACCAAGTTCTCAGAACGGCTTCACGACTCTCTTGAAAGCCTGTCACAATCGATCCCGGCCCGAGGCCCCAGTCAGGTGCAGCAATCCGATCAGCGGGCAACCTCACGGGCTTCAGGATAAGATATGGGAATTCGCCAGCACCTCGTGAGAGAGAGCCAGGTTAACAAGCCATGCCGGCTGTCCGCGGCCATTGCAAAATGGTTTCTTTGCCCAGACATGAGGGCACTCGCAGTGTTCTGCTTTCCGGGTGGATCTTGACAACCAACAGGGCCAAGATGAATCCCATGTTGCTTCCTCTACGATATGGGACCACTCCGTCTCCGTGTGTCTGTGACTCGGATTTGTGGACTTGCGCTGTGTACCTGTGACGACTATTTACACATAGGCTAGGGCCTTAGGGTTCTCTTGGCTTCTTAGCGCAAGCCCGAGCACGGGATTAACGTTGTACCAGTTCCAACTTCTTACATCCCACAGCGACGGATCCAGCTGATAGCTGTTTGCGGCCGAAAATCTACCCTAGCACCCCTAAATTCAATGACCCAAAATCGTAAACAGCAATGCCCTGAAGTGTTGACCACTGTGGTCGAACCCAGGCCCTGAACCCTACAAGCTCTAAAGCTGCAAAACTCGACCTGCCGGACCCGCCCAACCCCTAGCCCCCAAACTTGAAACCGATCGAAGACCCTTTGTAGTGTGAATAGGCTACCTTCCGACGATTGCAGAATTAAAAAGATTTTCCTGCTCTAATCTGGTGAGCCTTACCCAGGTTCTACTGAATGTGGTTCTGCGCGATTCAGGACCACACGAGAAAAGCCCTGACAAATCTGCATTTCCATGGAAGCCCCATCAAAATTTCCCGATGCATCCTGATTTCCTGCTGCCAAACAGTGGAAAAGCTGCTTCGTGCATAAACGCATCGAACTTTCCGATTGACATGGCTTGCTTTTGTTTGCTTGGCAGCACTGCCTTAGATGTTCAAGAGGCCCAAGAGAGTCATGCTTTCCGCTTAGTGCTGCTTGCCTGCTTGCTCGGCCATTTCCCTGTTGACACGTGCCCGCTCGCTGAGCGGCCTGCCATGGTGTTCTGCCCGGCGTGGACACGAGTGCTTTGTGTTTGCGCGCGGCTGTTTTCGGATCAGCGCTGCCGCTTTCTGCCTTTCCTGGTCCCAGCCTCTCGGAAATTCCCGACCTGCAAAAACCTATCATTCAGACTCTAAAGAAATACAACGATACCATACTCTCGCATTCCCTCGCATGCTTTGCTTGCCAGGCCTGACGGCATTGGCTGAGAAACTCCGCCAACCCGGATGGCTCCTGCCAGCTCTGCGCAGCTTCAGTGGAATATGTCGTCTGTCGTGTGCCTCGTCGCAGCTTTGTCCTTGACACCTCTGTCTGGGTGAACTGTGGGCAGTCCAATCAGTGAAACACAAGAGATAGCGCCTCACCACTCCGACTGCAAGGATTGCCACCAATGCCTGAGTGCTCGGGGACGGAGCTACACAGGCGAAAAGCACTGCAAATCACTCGAGACCTGCATCATCCCATGCCATGGACGAAACGTGGTCCATGGGGCTTTACACAGCCGCTATGGCAGTTCTACGTGTGCGAGCAATTCTGGGCTATTCAGCTATTGGTCAGTCGATGGACTGCTGCCGGGATGTAAGGTGGCTTGAAGTAGCTTCCTCCAAGTGGCGCGAGATGTCCACCTCACATCTTAACCTTTGATAACCATGACAGAGTTCCTGCATCATTGCCGAAGCATCGCTCAATATAGAATGCAACCCGCGGTGCATTTTTTCGACGCGTTTGGGCCCGGAACTCCGTTCTTGTTCTCCTGAAAGCTGCTTCGCAGCGCAGACCAAAGTGCTCGGCACGGCCAACTCGAGCATGCTTCCCTGAACGATTTCGCCCCTGACTATGCTAGTCAGAACCCGGACCAGCAATCGAAAGCCGATTGCTCAATCGTGATACCATTAGCAATTCGAGGCTGCTGTTCATCGTTTGGATGACACCAACAGAGCGAAAACGGCAAGAAGCCAGTGGCTAGTTAAACAAACAGCACAGAACATTAACAACTCGGTTCTCCATACACATGGTGCATACAGAGGGCTGGGATACATTGAATAGGTAAATCAAGCGTCTGGGATCAAAAGCAAATCAGAACAGGGTTCAAAACAAAGTCAAAACATCATATCTCCGGGAGTGCATACTCAAGACAACAAAATTCGGATCAAAACAAAATCAAACAGCGACCAACAGAAATCAAACAAGGATAAGGTTTCCTGCTATCCAACCAGCGTTGCAGCACTGTGGGGCGTCGGCGTTTGGGGGATCTTGTGTTCTTGGTGGGCGGGGGGGGGGGGGGGCTNNGGGGGGGGGGGGGGGGGGGGCTTCTATAGAGGAGAGAGACACTGAGTACTGGCCGAGCAGTAGGCGTATTCCATGGCGACAGTAACAATAACGGCAACAGGTAATAGTAACGAGTAACAGTTAAGGCAAAAAAGGATAATAGTGTTGGAAATGCTATTCGAAACAAACCGACAACCGGAACAACAATAGTCATAACGATCATCATCGCAATCATCCTCATCATCATCATCATCATCATCATCATCATGTTAATAGTCTTGGGGCAGGGAACGATGGAGCTTCAGCCGCTTATGCACATGCACTAGCACGACGCTTTTTCTACGGGAGGGCTCTGGAGGATTAACAGAGATATGAACTCAATTGATCCGCTGCGGTTTCTTTCACAAGTGATTGGCTTTCGGAGCTGCAAGCAAGCTAAAGCTGGACACCGTCATAGCAAAAGTAATTAATCGTGCTAATCTTCGAAATGACGAACAGTTTTCACTGTTGCTGGTAGTAAACAATCTCTGCTATTCTAGACAAAGCTTAATGTATATAACTGTACGGTTGACAGTGAGCGCAAAAAAAACAGAGCAGTAGAGCCACACTAGCCGAACATTAAGATCTCCAGTTCTCAAACGACTACGAGCCGTTTCTGAATGATGGCCCAAACACTGTAATTTGGCTGCCTATTTGCTTCTTGACAGGGCCGAACCTACGTGCGGATGAATTTTTCAGACTGAGTCTCTGATTCAACGACTGCTTGGAAACAGCTATGCGCGAGAAAGTCCACAGCTCTCTTCTCGGAGTCAAACAAACTCAGGTTGATGCCCCTGCTTAGACATGTTTACAAGGACACCTCCAACGAGCTCGATTCTCATGCCGTGGCAGAGGCATACACATTTCCAACACTTTCTGGGCCATGAATGACTGAGACGACCACATTGGCGATTAGCCGTGAACGCGCAACTTCTGCCACCAATCGCATTGCAAAACGGGCGTCTCCACGAGCAGCTGCTCAAACTGCACTCACGGTTGCGGAGCCTGCATCACATCAGCCACGTCGTGTTCAAGGCCAAACGACGACAAGCGCTTCTGCCTCTTAACTCTGCTGCGCTCCTGTGTTGGAGGATTTGTTCCAAACACAACCATGTTTGGCGAACTTGTCTACGTCAGTCCCCACACCCTGCGCGTCGCACGCCCCATGACAAAGATGGTTGCGATCATGGGGTCCTCCTTTCCTGGTGCACTCCCGATTAACTCTACTTACCAGCCTGACCCTTCCTGAAACCGAACCAAAAACACTGCTCCACCGCAGGATACTGCCTTGACGAAAACCAATTCTTTCAACATTCTTTCTGTGTGTCTGACTCATTCGCCTGTCTCAGCACAAGCTACCCGAACTGCTACGCAAAACACTCCATCTCTCTCTTGCAGTGCGCTGGTTTCGCCTGGTGACTGACCCCATGGCCCCTATGGCAATGCTCGCTCTCTCTCTTTTGTTTTCTCTGTTTCTTTCTTTCGCAAGCTCTCTCCCTCTCCCTCTCCCCCTCCCACTCCCACTCCTTCTCCCTCTCCCCTCTCTGACTTTCTCTTCTTGCCGTAGGGCATAGAGACTGGTTAGATCCCTTGGCCTCCCTCTCTCTCCCTCACCGGGACAGGACAGGCAGCGGTCCAGCCCCCCTTCTCCGCACGCGCACGTGCACCCGCGCTTCACGGGCGTCTTGGTCTTCCAAGGGGCTATACACCCTGTCTCTCTCTTCTTCCACAGGGCTTGGGGTGAAAGCAGTTTACGGGTTACATACTTTGGAACCGAAATGTATATTAGAACTGCGAACTCAATACTTTTCCCGTAAAGCTAGGACACCTGCACGAATTGAAGGCATGTCCCGTTTGGGTCCCCCATAACAACCCTCCATTGGGCCCATACGGTACAAAATACCAAGGCTCATAAAGTTACCTTCCCCCTGGTCATACCCATGTACAGTACTTTCAGCTGCTACACTTTGGTGACCTCCCCCGCTGAAAAAGCATGACTACTACAGTATACATTCCATGTGATTGTGCAAAACAATGATGACAATATAAACATTGCCTGGGGTTGCACCAAGGTATTGCTCTACACGCCGGGGCCCCCGCCAACGGTTTCAAAAACAGACAAATGTTGGTGTATAATTACCAAGACTGGTTTTTTAACGGCCTCTCTATCTCTTTTTTTCCTCTTCTTCTCCCAGGCATAAGTCCGTCTTTTCTGCAACTCCCTCCAAGGAAAACGGGGAGTGTCTGAGGCTCAGGGCCAAGAGACCAACGCATTTGGGGCTTTGTAAGGAAACCGTGAAACCAGATCCCGAATCCGTTGAGGGAAGGGTCTCGCTCAGGCCGCTAAATGCTCTGCAAACGAGACCAGTAACTCGTCAGTCGGAAGCAAGCTATCACATCACGATGACTGGGCTTGGCTCCTGCAGCATCGATTTCGAAGATTCGCTTCACCTTCTGCAACAACAGGATCAAAAGCGAGCAACTCGAAGGACTGCGATCGACGCCCAGCCCGGAAAGGCACAAGCAATTCCAAGCACTTTTTGCTGTCCATTGCCAAGACTCCTCAGAAACACCGGAAAGGTGAGCCGCCCGAAAATTGCTTTGCAAGTCTCATGCACGCTGGTCGCAGCTGCTCCGCTCACTTGAACAATTGTCGGGTGTCGAGTACCATGCTGCCCGTGCAGGAACAGAAATCGCTACTTTACGACTCGTGGTAACAGGAAAGGAAGATCACGTGTTGCTCTCGCTGGCTACCTGTTGATTGGACAAGTGAACAGCTCTGTACAGTTCCAAATTATTTCGAAGACGCACGCATGGGGTCAAAGCAGTACGGCAGGAAAGCTACAAAGCTGGCCACCATCTTTCCGCATCCAACGCCGTCTGCCGATTGATAACTACCTCAAACTCAGACGCACCCCCAACTCCCAACGTGCTCAGAACATTCTTGCCGAGATGCTCTCTGCCGCTTGCCTGACTCCATACAAGCATGAATTTACTTGTTCGCCGGGCTATGACAAGGCAAAGCACACAATGAGTGCAAAATGAAACGCACCTTGCAGCAGCGGAACATCGGATGTTGGCACCAAGTCCTTCGAGGTCTGATAGCTGCGCAACAAAATGTCATGAGAATCCGCGGATCTTGACTTGAAAGCACCTTACTGGGTAAGACAGTTCAAACCGGATTCATACAAAAGGGCCTGAAAGCCCCCCAGACGCACCGGAGTTGGGGCACGTATCGTACTGTTGGAATGCGTGCCATTCGTAGCTGGCTTCTTGCAATGCTGCGCGTTTCATTAAAAAGCCGTTGGAAATTTAGCAAGATTCGTTCAACCGGGCTTCGTGCTTCCTTAACTTGCGAGCTTTGGGTGATCGTTGTAGTGGCTGCGAAGCTGCCGCTTCTTTTGCTTCACGCTTCGGCCCCTGCTACTCGGGCTGCTTCTGTTGGCGATTGTGGCCACGTGGATGTGAAACAGGATCGGCCCGAATCGTTTCGCTCCTGGCCCATGGCATCGCGCAGCGGCCATGGCAACACTGCCAAGTCGAGAAGCTGAGTCCGACAATCTCGACCTTGAGAAACCGAACAAGCATAGCAAAGTTCAACGGCAGATGCTCGATGTGGTAGCGGACACCTTTGCAGCACTCGCAAGCTCCCGAGCTGCCTGCCTGCTTCCAGGTGGCGCCTCATTGACCCAGCAAAATTGCTTGGAGCACACAGCAAGATCTTTCTTGGATGCCTCGCCCGATTTTTTGTTTTCCAACGAGCTTTTTTGCCGACGTCCAAAGCGGTCCCAGTGCAGTAGCCAATTGCTTTGAACACTCACCTGCCCCATCCTTTCTTTTGGGGGTTGGTTACGGAGCGTGGGTCATCCATTTATAACAATTTCCTGGCCCACAGCACCTGCCGCTTGAGGACGCGCTGCACGACACAGTCCCTCCCACCCCCAGCCTCCTGGGCACGTAGTGCGCAGGCTGCGCGGGGACTTGGACTTTTCAGTTTTGCGGACATCACAAAGGTGCGTGAAAAAACAATTTGACGGAGAATGAAAGTTCACATGCCGATACATGCCGGCACAAGCCCACGGTGTTCGTTTCTGTATCTCTCATGCCCACTATGTCCTAAATTATTCGAGTAACTGCACTGCTGCCAGAACTCATGGTAGAGGGCATGGGACCTACTGTTGCATACGGTGGCAGACGGCGATATGTCGTGTATCCACACCGCAACTCATGAGATCGTTGGTGTGTTTGCTGCCGCCAAGATTCAACAGAATGTCGAGTTTAAAACTTGCGCGCAAGCGAACCTGACAAGGAAGTCCGATGTCAACGAAGCCACATCTACCAAGCCAAACGCGCACCTCCGCTTGGCCTGCCCCTGCATATGTTTCCATGTCCGCGCTGTCGGCAGGGAACACAACCTCTCATGATGTAAACACGATTCAGGGTGCTATCGTCCCTTGTGACAGATCCAAAAATTGGGGCGGGTTGGGATCGTTGGCTCGCAAAGCGTTGGCTGCAACGTGCTTGGTGTCAAACACAACACCATATCAACAGAAACATGTTGCAACATTCGGCACACCGACGACGGCGACAGCGGCATAAGCAAATGAAAAAAGCTTGGTTGGTTAGACACATGCAGACACGCCAATGCCGCAGAGGCACGCTGCTGCCATGCAAGCCTCGATGCACTCTGGTGCTACCTTCCCTGCATTGAGCCCAATAACCGGATGGCCATTCTGCCAGATTGCCTTGATCTCACATAAAACAATCTGAGGGAGCTGCCGTGGTGCCCGCCGGCGTTGATATTTCCATGACCATTCGGCCTCGTTCCAAATACCTTCAAGCAAGCTACATGACATCCTTTTCCCAACGACCCAAAAAAAACACGATACTGTCCACCAATGGAATGAAACCCAAGCTTGGAACCTTTGCGTCTGGACAATCAACTGCATGCCAGCGGTGTAGCTCCTGGAGCTGTTGTTGCTCACGTGCTTGTCCATGTGCCAATCGTATGCAAATGTCCTGACAAGCAAAACGCCACCTGCTTCATCCTCGGCAAATCCAGGACTGTGCTGTGTCTGCCTTTTCCGGGATGATGATTTGATCCAAGCGAATTAGTTTGTACAACCGATGCATGCTATAGGCCCCGGACCCAGCTGGGTTCAAGCAACAACGGCCTGGCCCAGCCACAGCAATGGCAACCGCCATTACCATAACAATGTCCATCGCAGCGGCACTAGCATTAGCAACAACAGCAACGACAACAGCGAAAGCGACGGCAATAGCGGCAGCAGAACTCGCACGAAGGCTTGCCACCGCTGGAGTGGCATACTCCCCGTTGCCGCACAGCGCGCCTTCGCTGCCTTATTCATTGAGCCCCCCTACGACCGCAGCTCGGTGCAGCTGGCGACCCTCGTGCTCTGCACGATCTCCTCACCGAAGCATGTTGGTTGCAGGCGCTCGTTAATGGCCGCTTGTGGCCTGAACCCGCCCATGTAGGCCGCTTCATGGGAAGGGCAAGCGAAGCGGGAGGGCCGGGGTTGGGGGCATGGATGTTGCAAATCCTTATCGCGGAGACATCGAGCCGGCATGAGGAGGGAGCACCGGATTTTGCCTAGCATCGCCTCGCATTGCTATAGATTGCCATGGCGGCCAACGGATGATACGAGTACACGTGGCTGGAGGGCCTTCTGCCTTGTGCCCGCATGCTACCTTTTGCGCTCGCCTGGTGAATCCCACATCATGGGGGCTGAGCCACAAAAGCGTCGTGTTTCGACACGGGTTGCGGCTCCTTCTGCTTCACCGGAAGATGAGCCGGCTTCGTTTGAGGATGAGCGATGACGACAGTGCCGGCGGCATTGATCAAGCTACAATCAGTGGAGCGACGAGCGGCGGGACAACCAGCCCAATCCGAATCTGTGAAGCCATCAACGGCCAAAAAGCCGGAGGCTTTGCTTTCGGCATTGAGACATGTGACCTTTGCAAGGTCGGGCTTGTGCAACACATATTGTCCCAACACTCGCAAAGGAGGTGCAGAGGCCAGCGTCGCCTTTTCGAGGTTCCGGCTCCATGCAAATTGACCGTGAGGTGGCAACGCACACCAGCATCAATGCCGTTCCATGGCCACGTCCAGCTGCAAGTGTCGAGAAGCGCTCGGCGCCTGCAGCGTCAGAGCCTGCAGCCGTGACTGCAGAGCCTTCACCTAAAATTCCGAAAGTAGGCAGCATTAGCTGTGCATTGCAGCAAATCGATGGCCAATGGGAAAATATCGTCCGTCCGTGCTTGATTTGCTTGACACACGGTTAGACCCTCGTGAAGTCGAGAAAGCCAGGGATGTTCAGATGGCAACACTAGTCGAAAAGGATTTCGCTAAACCAAAGCTGAAAACCAACATGCCGCGGAAAGCGAAGCTTTTCAATTTCAAATGCATCGATGAAATCAAAGGTGGAGTACATCGTTCCCGCTTCACATGTGCGGACATAAACAAAGGTCGACACCACGCTTGTCTCCCCCCTGACTGCTGCCGGCCCCCCACGCAGGGCTGGGGGCCGTACTGTCGGAGCGGCCGTGCTCACTGCAAGACGAGCCAAAGAGCGCACATACCCCGAGCTGTGCAGGTCCAACCGCTGCCGGCTCACGGTCATACCCCTTGAGATTGGGGGGCGTAGGAGTGCCGAGGCCGCTACCTGTGTCCGCTTGCTGGCACGGTGCTGTGCGAGGTCTGCGCCACCACCCTCGCGCGCCGCTGCCATCTCGGCTTTTACTCTCCGCTGGTCTGCACTCCTCTCCTTCGCTGCCGCGCATTCTTTCGCAGCCAGCCTGCTGTCCCTGCCCCTCACCGGCACAGCCAATGTTGACGGGGATGTACCACCTCTGAGCGACATCCTCGCCGACTCGCCTTCCCAGCCGTCGCTTGCTAGCCGTGTGGTGTGAAAGCGCTCTGCGCTTCTAGGCTCTCTGCATCTATCTGCCGTAGTCTGTTGCCCTGGCTTTGGGCTTCTGCACCGGGACCGCGCTGCTTCGCACGATTGCAAAAAGGTCCACTAAAAAAAAACACGTACTCCAAAGAGGAACTTGCCGAAGAAACTAACACGTTTGCACCAACTCCGTAGGAAGAATCCCACATTCTTGTCGAGCTCAGGTGCCTCGTTAACGGGTGGCACTCCCGCTCCGGAGACGTCAGGCGTGCGTATCTTTTAGGCACAGACTCAAGTCACAGTAACGGTCAACCAGTGTTCATGCGCATGCCTCCCGAGTACCTGCCGCATTTCTATGCTTGGTTGGATGCCCAAGACTCCGAAACCAAAACCCTGTACATATCGGTAGATCCGCTGCAAGACGTGGCGTTGGAACTTGTAGGAAACCTGTATGGCAGGCGCCCTGCCGGAAGCAACTACCGGGAGGAGTTTGAAGAGGTTGTCACGAATGGTTTGGTACCAGTCCATTCGGGGCACCCGTGACCCAAAAGTGTACACATGTCGCAAAACATTGCAATACTGACGCAACGCTGTTGCACCATGTTGACGACACTCGTCTAGGGGCGTCAAACAAGGACCGTGAGTATCCTTGAGTTCCTGCAGTCAGACGAACGTCTCGGCAAATACCTCGACATGAAGAACGGTGGCATCGAGACACCAGGCACCAAAGTCAACGTTTTGGGCCGAAAAAAGTTGCGAACCCAAGACGCGTTTTTCACACTCCCTGAACCCAAACATCGCGAAAACGTGCCTACGTTGCTCGACCTCTGGCACGCAAAGCCATGCGTGCGCACAAAGAGCAATGCACAACCGATCGACGAACAACGTGCTGAGTTGTATGCAACGTGTGTAGGCTCGTTGATATATTTGAGCATTGACCGCAAAGACATTCGTTTCGAGACGAAAGAATTGCCCCAATATGGCAGCGTGCCCTCCACACCTTGCGCCAGGCTCCCCCTGTCGAGCCGGCCGCGCTGGTGCACGCGTTGCACACCCTGCAGCAGCTTGCTACCGAAGAGGGGCGGGCTCTTCCCGTGGTTGAAGCACAAATCTTACTGGCCCTGGCAGCAGAGTCCAATGCGCTACCCCAGAACACGCTCGTTCACTTACCCTGGGCATGGCGACTCGCTGCACTTCCCGACGGATACATACCTGCCACGGTTCAGGAAGCGCCGTTGCACGTGTTCATGGGCGAACGGGAGGCTTCAGAGCTTCTGCGAGCTGTCGACGCCCTGACCCGGCCCGGCCCGCCCGCCCCCCCGCCACCAACATGTCCCCAGGCCCCGGAACAGCAGGACCCACCCGAGCATTCCTCCAGCAGCAGCTCCAGTAGCTCCTCGGCATCTTCCAGTTCTGAGGCTGGCGAGGGGCCTGCTGCCCGCCAAGTGCACGGAGAGTTTGACACACTGCAAGGCCCGCAGCTGCGGGCGGCTTTGGCCAGTTTGGACCCTGTTTCGGTCGAAGACGTTTTTTGGCAGCCTTGCCAGATGTTCCGCACTCCGCCCGCCTTTTGCAAACCCCAGCTGCGCCGTGCACTACGCTGGGTGCTCCGCCTCATTCGCGACGCTACGGGGCCTAGCCCCACACCAGCCACACTCTCTTCCCCTGCTGTGGAGCGCCCATGGAAGCTGTGGCTCCTCATGCCGCGCATGTTATTGTTCTGGCCTGCTGGTACCGACCGGGTCCCCCCTTAGGCGGGGGGGCTTTTGGGCCCGGTGCGGCGCCGGTCGA